CAAACCATCAGGTCTTCCTTATTTATTTTGAGACAGGGTCTCACTATGTAGGTCCAGGCTGGTCTGAACTTACTATGTAGTGAGGCTAGCCTCAAACTCTTGGTAATTCTCATGCCTCAGCTTCCTGAGTGCTGGGATTACAAGTGTGCACCACTACACCCGGGCCAAATTTTTAATTTAAAAATTTTTTTAATTTTCTTTTTTTTGTTGTTTTTTGATACAGGGTCTTGCTTTGTAGTTCAGGCTAGCTCTGAACTCATTATGTAGCCCAGGCTGGCCTTGAACTTTCAGTAATCCTCCTGCCCCTGCCTCCTAAGTGCTGGGATTACAAGAATGTGCCACCATGCCTGGCAGGCCCAATTTTTTAAACAAGTAAGTAAAAATGGCTGTCCTCTGTTGTACACCTGTTAAAGGAGTAAACAGAACAATAAGCAGGGTCCAGGCCTGTAATCCCAGCACCTGGGAGGCTGAAGCAGGAGTATTCTGAGTTCGAGGCCAGCCTGGAGTACATGGCAAGACAACAAAACAAAAACTCCAACCCAGGTGTGGTGGGTACATCCAGTAATTTTAGCACTCGGATACTGAAGCAGGATGACCCCAAGTTCAAGCCCAACCTGGGCAACTCAGGGACTTATGGAAATCCTATCTGAAAATAAAATAAAAACCACAAAAGGGCTGGGGACATGGCTCAGTGTGAAGGCCCTGAATTCAATCCCCAGTAGAATACATACACCACTGGTGTACACACGCACACACACACAGAAACTGTCCCAGTTTCAACTGTAAAAGCCAGAACCAAGTGTTGGGAGAGAAAATGGCACAGCAGGGTAGCTGACCCTAGGTGCTCTACTAAGCCTCGTCTTTCTGCATCACCCATCCTGCACTAACTCCACTGTCACACTAGCCACCCTGCACTGAGTCTGGAGGCAGCAGGAAGCAGCACTCTGAACACAGCTCACTCCCTTACTTAACTCAGGTGAGCAAGATACCCCTGAAGTGACCTGGTAAGGACGCTCCCCACACAGGTTACAGAAAGGCATGAGATAGGCCAAGTCACATTTGAGGACCAGGTCCCCCAGCTCCAGCAGAAGCCGCTCTCTCACCCATTCTAAACTCCTCCCCCAGAGCTCAAGCTCCAGGGGCTGGCTGTTCACCTGTCTGCCCAGAAGCTGGCCTGGTGAGCACAGCAGCTGCACCCAGAGCAGCGTCTCTGGCTGAGCACACACTAACACACTGGGCAGTCAGCTTGGGGCCGCTGCCCCAGAGGCACAAGGCAGAGAGAGGAAGCATGTGGTGGGTATTTCTTACGCAACTGCTGTGGACACAGATACCACATGAGTCAGTGCTGATGTCCTAGGGGAAGCTAAGAGGTATAAAATGGTACTGCACTTACCCAACGTGAGGCGGAAGAAAACCAAATGAATGACAAAGCCCCTGTGAACATCTGAAAACACCATAACCTCCTTAGGCTAAGCCTCGTACCAATTCAGGGCAGATACCCTGCCCCATGTGACTCTCAACCACAGTATTGTGCTGGAGATGGATTTAAACAACCGCTGTTGTGTGTAAACTTGGGTAAATGATTCAATCATTGTGAGCCTTTGCTTCATTTTGTGTAAGGCAATACACACCCCTTACACCAAATGATAGCAAGACAAGCAAAATGAGGCCATATTAGGGAGCAATTAACAGCAGCCACTAGAAGAATAAAAGCTCTGTGCAGGGAAGTGTTTGGCTTACACGCTGACACATCTCATGGTCTGAAGGGCACCTACACAGAGTACACACTCAATAAACACTAGGTTCTCCAGTAGTACCTATAATCCTAGCACTCGGGAGGCTGAGGCAGGAGGATCGCCATGAGTTTGAGGCCAGTCTGAGCTACATAGCGAGTTCAAGGCCAGCCTGAACTACATAGCAAAACCCTGTCTCAAAAATACCATGGCCCCAATAAACAAACACTCAGTTATTCATTTGATCAAAGCATGAACAAACATCAGGGATATATATCTCACTTGACTCAATCCACTCTGTAATGTTATTATTCCCATCTGATATCTTGTGCAAGGAGGAAGTACCAGAGCTAGGATCTTCTAAACCCAGAGCCAACTCTGGAACACAGGGCAGGGTGCTCTCCTATCAATACCCCTTCTCTACCTGAAATCACCCTTCAAGCCGAAGTAGTGTGTTTCTCTAGTCTACTTCCCATAGCACCAGGCCCCACAGGGCCCTCAACCCTTGGCTGGCAGAGAGAAACAACCTATACTTTGCAGGGGTCAGTTACCCAGAGAGAACCTTGATGCGCGAGACTCAGAGGGGCCTCACCTTGCCTTTGAACAGGATCACTGGGCAGACAAACCGTCCTCTGCACCTGGCCATCTTGCTGCGGTTGATGAGGTCCTGCAGCCTGCTCACCTGCACGGTGCTCTGAAACCTAACACATGAGAGAAGCACGTCAATCCCGGTGTGGTGGCAGACGCCTGTAATCCCAGCATTCGGGAGGCTGAGGCAGGAGGATCGCTGTGAGTTTGAGACCAGCCTGGGCTACACAGTGAGTTCCAGGTCAGTCTCAACTACATAGTGAGAACCTGTCTCAAAAAACCAAAAAAGAGAAAGAAAAGTCCGGCTTCTTGGGGGTGCTCTAGGCACATGTCTGTCCATAGGGCCCCACACCAGGGCTGTGCACAGTAGGAAAGATGCTCACCAGACAGTCAAATGCTGTGACTCCTGAATTTTCAATCACTGACACTAGGTTTCTCAGGAACATTAAAAGTGTTAATTATAGGAATTAAAAATCAAAGTCACCCTCTTTTTAGAGCCTTTAAAATGAAAAAAAGGAAGCTAAATGGAAGACAAGTGTATGTAAGACAGAAATACACAAGAAAACTGTATACTGACTAAGTGTTCAGCAGCTCATTCCCAGAGTAGCCCTGATGCCCTTAGGAAACCAGGGGACATTTTTGTGATCTTAATTTAGGGAATGGGATGAGATGAAAGCTCCTGGTCTCACAGCTTTAAGACACCCCAACCATCTGTCACAGCCCCACGAGGCCAGTGTGCTGGGGCAGAACAGGCAAAAGAGCAGCTGCCCATGACATCCAGAGGTGAACACACTGGGCTGAGGAAGGAGCACCTCAAACACAAAAGAGGCAGGGTTAGAAATAAGCAGCACCATGGCATACACCAAGGCGCAGCTCCCCAAACCTGGGTCTGCTCACAGACTCCCTACCAACACAGCGTTCTCCACCACCTGGTCAGAGTTGTGGGCAGCCCCGGAACCAAGGGATAGTAAAGCTGGGGGAAGCTGCCTGGCCATGCAGGCAACAGTGCAGAAGGGAGGCAGACTGCATTTCCTCCTCAGAGCGCTGATCGCTCAGGCCACATAGGGGCAGATGTCCCACCCCTCCTGGGGACCCTTCCACTGTGGCTCCTCAGGGACACACGTGCCCAAACCTGCTCCAGGAGTTAAACCAGCGACCCCCACATATCCTGGGAACCTTTGCACTGAGCTACCTCCTCAGTCCCCACACCCTTTTAAAATTTTTTTCCCCAATAATTTAAAATTTTTGAGCCAGGGTCTTCCCAAGTTGCTAAATTGCCCAAGCTGGGCTTGAACTTGTGATCTTCCTGCCTCAATCTTCCTAGGAATATGTGTGTGCCATCAAGCCTGGCTAATTTTTTTCTTTGGTAAAGGAAGAAGAATGGCAACTTGAAGAGGCTGGAGCACCTTCTCAAACCAGCCACTGCTCAGAACCCACATCTCCCCCACCACTACACTCCCACCCTACTCAGTTTCTCCTTAAGAGTTAAAAGGCAACTCAGTCAGGA